TAAGAGGAGCTGGGGCTGGAACCCAATTCTGCCTGACCACTGGGTCTGCGCTTAACGACTGTGTGATGCTGTGTGATGTTGAATGTCCCCCTTGCAGGAGATGAGAGGCCGTATTGGGAGAATGTACCCCTACCCCCATCCTTTGGTGACAGGTGTTTGGAGCAGTGCCTGGCACAGAGGAAGAGCTCGTTCTCACACCCTATGTGCGTGGCGTCCCCCACGCTCCTGCGACACTTTCATCCTAGATGGCGCTCATCTCCTCTTGCCCCTGAGGACACCAGGCTTCCAGGACCTTTAGCATCCTCCCACAATCCCCGAAGAGTCGGGACCTCCCCGAACATCCCCACACCAAAGCTGAGAGACCCTTAATTCACCCACAAGGTTGGGAGGCACGTTCCCACCCGCAGCTGCAGTCTGGGGGGCCTGGGAATGGGCGCATGCTCACAAGTGGAGGCTCTGGGCTCCTGGGGCTGGGCAGCCAACGATGCCCTCCTGGGACACGTGCCCCTCAGAGCGGGAGCAGACTCTGGGGACAGTGACCGATTTAATGAGTGGATGATAGAATGACAGAACGTGCCGGGGTGAGAGAGTTTTCTGGCTTTCAGAGGTGTTTTGATGCTTTGTCCCCCCATACGTGTGGTATTATTGTGTTGGTTTTACAAGATACAAGATTTGGGAGAGAAAGAAAAGCAGGAAATCCATACCAGTGGCCTCGGTGAGAGTCTCTTGTGGGTCCACTCCCACGCGAGGTCTAGACAGGGATGGAAGCCACCGGGGTCTCTCCCTCCCCCCAATGCAAACCCAGGGGGGCTTGTCCATGGGATCATGACGGTGACCTGGAGCTCAGAGGTGTGAGGTGGCGGCTGTCCCCCCTGGGGCTTCTCATTGGCGCGCTGGCTGCCAGGGCTGCAGAATGGACCCCCATACGCCTTCCCCCGGAGCTGCGTGTCACCTGGCTGCCCCGTCCCCCTCTGCTCGAACCCCTGTTCTGCCAGGATCCCCTCCCGGGAAGGCATTTTGAAAGCCCTGGTGGACAGTGTCGCACTGCCGGAGGATGCCATCCCGGCCCGAAGGTGACTTGCCACCCGACTTCATAAAAACGTCCGTCAAACAGCCCCAATCTGGAAGTAATGTGCAGTGAGATATTCCTACCCCAGCTCATCCATAACAGGAAATCAGCCCAAGATGGCCCTGTATTTCTTCCTGCTCCCTAAAGAGTAATAAATTGAAATTTTTAAAGCTCGGCGTTAAGATGGCTTGTCAGCAGCAGCCCGGAGGCTGCCCAGTGAGGGAGGCTTTGGGCTGGAGAATTTCCGGTCTCGGCCATCCAGATGCTACTAAAACGCGGGCCTGCTGGACGTGTGTGCCTCTGGGCTCGGCACCTGTCCACCCATCCCAGTCTGCCGGGAAGCCTAAAATTCCTCCTTGAGATCGTGGGTGCCCAGGCCCTGCGGCATCCCGGCAGCGGGACCTTGACAGCCCCTGTGGCCTCTGCTTCATTTTCTTCCCCTCTAAAATGGGGACAAAAACTGCCACGTCTCAGGCTGTGAAGGGGATGAAAGGGATGACCCACAGCCACACCCGCCGGTCCATTTGTAGGGTGCTCTCAGTGCCGGGCGTGTGCTACGCACTGTCGTGTTTTCAGTCATTCATCCTGGGAGTACCCTGTGATGGAACTGTCCCCATGGCACAGATGAGGAAAGCGAGGCATAGCCACCTTCGAGGACTGGCTGGAGAGGCAGATCCCGTGGGTCTGGATCCAGGGCCCCAGCTCCGACCTCCACATGCCGTGGGATCTGGCACTTCAGTGCCACCAAATGTTGGTTTCCTTCCTCTTCCCTGCGGGGTGAACTTGTTCATCTCTGGAAGTTTCTAGTAACGATGCATGTCACTGCCCCCACATTGATTCAAACCCTGAACTCTGTCTGTTCTCTCCGGTTTGTTTATTTACCTCTCCTTCTACAGGCCCCACCCTGGGACAGGCCCTCATGACACTGTCTGAGTGGCTTCTATTACGGCACCAAGTCTCTGAGCTGACTGCTTTCTCTGCAACCGAGCTCTCCCTTTATTTTAATCCCTCCTACCCATGTGGTCAGACTTGCCATGAGGGGCTGTGGAGCCCAGTGGTTAAAAGCTTGGGGTCTTGAGTTGGACCAACCTATTGTATCCACTGACCAGCTGTGTGACTGTGGGCAAGTCACTTCCCCTCTCTGAGCCTCAGTTTCCTCCTCTATCCATTAGTCTTCCTGGTGGCACCTTTGTCCTAGAGCTGTTGTGGGAGGTTCTGGAGCAAGGCAGACGAAGCACAGAGCACTGGAAACGGTCCCCAAGCAACAGCAGCAGGTGTGGTGTTCATGCCCAAACCCTCAGGGCCAGGATAATCCTGCCTCTAACCCAGTGTGAGCGGAGAACACCGCCAGCAGCCGTCTCCATCAACAGGGAAAGGACGGAGCATTTCTGGATCGTGCGCCATATACCACCTGTAAAATGGGGATCAAAATAGAGCCTCCTTTCTCCGGTGGCTCCGAGGACCAGCAGCATCACGCAGATGCGACCCTCAGCCACGGGAGGAGCGGAGCAGGCGGGCGCTGCTGTCGTCCTCTGCGGCTCTGCCCTGTTGTGCTCCTTACAGTGGCCCTCGCTCGCCTCCTGGCCCTGGGCCGAGTGACTTGGGCTGGAGCGGGGCCCTGCATGATGCCTCCCGTCCACCATTAGTTGTCTGACATCACCTCCATGATGGCCCATCTGCTCCTGTCTGCTCAGACCTTTTGTTCTGTGCACACCCACTGTGCAGTCTTCCCTTTCTGTCTACTTCCGCTCTGACTGGAGCACCTCCTTCCTGGAGGACCGCAGCAGCATCCTTGCTGGCCGCTGTGTTACTGATCTTGTCCGCTAAAGCCCATCCTCCCCACAGCAGCCAGAGGAAGGTCATGCCACCCTCCTTGGAAACCGCCAATGGTTTCCCTACAGACTGAAAATAAACCGCAGCTTTGCGTGCTGGCTCACAAACCTCACTGAAGTGACCCCCATTCACTTCTTCTGCATCACCTCCTCCTCTCTCTCTCTGTCCAGTTGTCCAGCCACACCGGCCATCTTTCCATTTCTCGGCACCAAGTTTGTTCTTGTTCCTGCCCCAGGTCCTTTACACTGGCTATTGCCTCTACTCAGGGCACTCTTCCTCCTAAATCTGCACACGGCCGTCTCCTGTGCATCTTAGGTCTTAGCTGAAACGCCTCTCCTTAGTGAGGCCTCTGGCTTCTGCAGAAATCAGGGGTTGTCTTTGCCCTGCCTCCGGCAGGGGAGCCCTCCTTCCCCTCTCCCCGCCTTGCCAGAGGCCCTGGAGCTGCCTTCGGGAAGGTGAGACTGTGCCTGACTTCAAGCTTCCTCTGTCGATTATGCTGTAATGATGCCGATCACCTCCCCTTGCTCCACATCATTTTTCTCGGTGTGTTTCTATTCCTCCCAGTCGCTGAGGAAGACGGGCCACCAAGTCCTCCTCCTCCAGGCCCTGTGCTGAGCCCGCTGCAGGAATAGACTGTTCTCAGGGTCTCGAAAAGGGGGCTTTTGTGGATTTCGGTTGCTGGCAGTTGGGTGGGACTGGAGCTAGAGGTGCCGGTGTGGGAAGCTGTGGGAGTGGGCCAGGGCCTTGACCTTCGAATGGATGAAGCCTCCCTTCTCCCTCTCTGCCTTCCATTCACATTATCATTATTCTAACATCTGGGGCTGAGTTCCTGGACACCATTTTTTTTTTTTTTTTTTTTTTTTGCTGAGGAAGACTGGCCCTGAGCTAACATCCGTGCCCATCTTCCTCTACTTCATATGTGGGACGCCTACCACCACATGGCTTGCCAAGTGGTTCCATGTCTGCACCTGGGATCGAACCAGCGAACCCTGGGCCGCTGAAGTGGAACGTGTGCACTTAACCACTGTGCCACTGGGCCAGCCCCAAGGACACCCTTTTTTTTTTCTCTGCCTTTTTGCACCAACTTTAATGGCATTAACTATTTTGGGGGTGCTATCAGCCTGGCAGTTGAGAAAGTAAAAGTACGCTGGTCTGGACTAAATAAGTGATATCTTTGCTCCTTGCAGCTGTGTGACTCTGGGCAAGGCCCTGGCCCTCTCTGAGCTCCAAGTGTTTTCCTTAAGTGATTTCTAAGGGTGTTTTCTGCTCAAAGATTCTAGAGTTCAGGAATCAAGGGGAAGCTGCCTTAAGGGGAAGACGGACTTAAGATTTATGCACAGACGTGCTTTTTTTCTGTCTGCCTTCTGGGGCCATGTAGGTAATTGTATCTATCTTGATGGCCCCCCTTGGCTAAGATGGGAGGCCTACTGTGTGCAGGTGGGCGGAAGGATGAGAAAGAGAGACTGTTTAAGTCAGTGACCCTTAACCTTGGAGAATCCAGTGGAAGTCGTGAATTGCGACCAGGAAAATGCTCACATGCAGAATATTTTGCATTCCGTTTGTAGGGTCTTCCCAACTCTGGAACCGGGTTAGAAATGTCTACTTGGCAAGTCCCCAGTGACCTCCAAGCACCTCCTCCAGGCAGCCTTCCCTGACCCCATCCCGGTCCCCAGGGTCCCCGTGCCCCCCTCCCTGTACTCCTCCTGAGAGGCTGTCATTACCTGTCCTTGCCGCTCTCCCCCACGGGAGGCCAGGGCCCGGCCTCACTGTTTCCTGCGTGCCCATGACTGGCCCTCAGTGGGCGTCAGCAGATGTTTGCTGAATGGAACTGGGGCCAGCTCCTGGCACTGAGGCCGGGGTGGCCTGGCCTTATTTCACGGGGCAGGGCCCGTTCAATTGTGGGCGCGCTCAGACCTGGCGGCCTCGGATGCAGGCACACTTGCTTCCCCGAATGTGGGCTGATGAACAGTTGTGAAGACACGGGGGCCGCCTGGGAATTATACCGCCGCGTGAGGGGGGCGGGCGGGGCTGGATGGAAGGACATACAAGGGGGCAGCAACGGGACTTCTCATTTCTCCTCCCCTCCCGCCTGGTCCAGCTGGAGCAGAGTGAAGCCAAGTGCGAGGACGCCTTGAAGACCCAGAAGGCGCTGACTGCCGACCTGGAGAGCATGCACAGCGAGCTGGAAAACATGACCCGGAGCAAGACCCTGGTACCTGTCCATTCCTGGGGCTGTGAGGACTCGGCCAGCATGGGCTCTGAGCTAGCATGGGCCTGCTGTGTGCTCAGCATGATAAGAGGGACTAGGGCACTCAGTGTACTGTAGTTGGAGGTACAGAGACACATTGTAGACCTACTGGGTGTTCCACACTGAGTATAGACATCCTACTATAGCTGAGCATTAGAAAGGTATAAGGACATCTATGAGCATCGACTATGCCTCTGCACAGGGAGGCTAGGAAACCTGTGTGGACCTAGTGTGTGCTCAGCACTGTGGGATGCATCTCATAGGAGCCTACCGTTTGCTTAGCACCCTAAGTGGGAACACCACTATCTATTGTGTGCCCACACCCACTCACCACTGTAAGTGGTTCTCAGTCATCTGTTGTAGTCCTACTGTGTGCTCATCACCATAGTCATTATTGTTGAGCTACTGCATGTCCATTCTTATAAGTGGAGACAAGGGCAGCCCTTATGTCCCACTTAGGCTCACTCCTAAAAAGGACCCAGTCATTTATATGGGCCTACTATGCGCTCACCACTGAACAGGGACAAAGGAACACACGTTATGGATCTATTATGTTGGTGAAAACTGGGTGTGGGTTTCCAAGTCCCCTGGCTGGGCATACAGGGTTGGCTTAAATTTATACTTGACGTGTAAAATCCTAAAGTTTAGGTATAGCTAGAGATTTATAGGGAAAAGTTTGCCTTAAGATCTCTATTGGCCCTTTTGTCGCAGATTTTGTTTGCACTAGATTAAGGGGAACGTGCCCCCAAACATTCACACACATACACACACACACACACACACACATGCAGGGATGAATGTACCCACTCACATATAAAATCACCAGACACACGTACAAAATAAATGCCCTCGAGGGGAAAATATACATCTAAATGTCGCCATATTTATTGAGCACCTGCAGGCCAAGCACTGGGGATCTACCTGTGAACATAAATAAGTCCCTGCGTTCAGGGAGATTACAGGGTTTGCACTCACAAATATGTACCATGCACATTTAAAATGTGTGTGCAGATTCCCAGGTGGGCTTGCACAGACATACATCCATTCCCATACACACAGGCAACATTTACACAGTCCCATGCATGCCCAATACACACACATGCACACACACACACTCACAGAGCTGTCATACCCACAGCATGCGTTGACACACCCATGGCCACCCTTCCAGGTAGCAGTTCACTCACCTGACACACCCACGGGCAAGCGCCCTGTGGTCTTCATCAGCACCCTGTTGTCCCCCTCCCCCCACTGACCCCAGCCACTGTCCTGCCTCCCGCCAGGTGGATGAGCAGCTGTACCGGCTACAGTTTGAGAGAGCGGATCTCCTGAAGCGCATCGATGAGGACCAGGATGACCTGAATGACCTCATGCAGAAGCACAAGGACCTCATTGCTCAGGTAATGGCCTCAAGTGGAAGAAGGCTTGGTGGCCTCAGGCTGGGTAGGTGGGGGATATTGAGAAGGTGATGTGGTTGGGCCACTCCCTGATCTCAGGACCTTGGAGATAAATGCCACAAAGATAAACAGAAGTGATGGAAGTTCACGTGGCCCTAAGGGAGGAGAATGTCACCTTCAGATGGTGTGTGCATCTCTGGAGGTCATCTCCACCAAGAAAGACTTTGACTTATTCATATGTCAATATACCCATCTACCCGCCCACATATCCATCCATCTATACGTGGAAATATTCTGTATCCACTATCTATCTGCTTATCAATGTACCCACGCACCTATCCAATCTTTTATCCACCCACCCACCTATCCATTCATCTATCCATTCACCCATTCATCCATCCATCCTTCTACCCACTTACCCATCCATCCACCCATCCACCTATCCATGTATCCATCCGTGCATCCATGCATCCATCCATGCATCCACCCACCCATCCATCCATCCATCCACCCATCTATCCATCCATCCACCCATCCATCCATCTATCCATCCACCCATCTATCCATCCATCCATCGTTCCATCCGTCCATCCATCCATCCATCCACCCATCCATCCATCCATCCTTCCTTCTACCTGTCCATCAACTTCTCCATCTACCCATTCATTCATTCATTCAGTATTTACTGAGTGCCCACTATGTGTCAGGTACTGTGTGAAATGCCAAGGATACTGTGTTGAGTAAAAGCACATCCCATTCCTGCTTTCTTGTGGCTCTTAGCTTCATGGGCTGGGCAGACCTTATCACATAGACCCCAGAGCAGAGGGAAGACTTGAAAAGTGAGCTAAGAGTCCAGAAAGGAAATTAAAATGGTTCTGCAAACTTTGGCCTAGTTGGCGGTCAGGGAAGACTTCCCTGAGGAGGTGGCACTTGGCTGGAGATCTGAACGAGGAGCAGGAGTTAATTACACTGAAGTGGGATGGTGAGTGAACAGGGGAGTATTCCAGGCAGAGGGAACAGCACGCACAAAGGGCCTATGATGGTGCATCTGAGAGGCTGAAAGGAGGTCAGTGAGGGGAGCGTGGCATGAGATGAGCTCAGTGAGGCCAGCAGAGGAGGGCCAGATCAAGGTCTCATAAGCTGTGATGAGTTTGGATTCTATTTTACATGTGATGGGAAACCCTGGCAAGCTTTTTAGGGGAAAGAGCAGGAGGAGAGGGTCAGCTCTACAATGACAGAGTTCGCCTGTCTCATCCAACGCTGTATCCCAGAGCCTAGAAGGGCATCTGGCACGGAGTAGATGCTCGGTAACTAGCTGCTGAATAACTGAAAGTGGCGGTCAGCCAGGGGAGCGACAATGGTGCTTGTGTCAGAAGATGGAGTGGAGATCACAGGAGTGGCTGGACCCAGGAGACAATGAGGAGCCAGGATGGCAGGACGGGGAGAAGCAGGGGCATTGGAGTGGAGCTGAGGGCTGCGATGAGGATCCCCTGCAGGTTTCTGATCTGCATAACTGGGGAGAACAGCCCCCCCAGGCAGTGAGCATCTTCCCCACATTAGACCCCCCAGAGGAGATCCATGGTGGAATGCCTGCCAGGCTTCAAAGGCATCCTATCAGAGATTCCATCTGAGGGAATTTCCCCTAAACAGGGAATCATAATAACAAAAATAATCAATGCTATCATTAACGTTATAACAACCACCACAAAAATAGCCTGTGCCATCTTCTGCCTTTGCAAATCACACTTATTTTTGTTCGAAGTGGAAATTTCTTTATTTCTTCAATTACAAAGGCAGTATATTCACATGCCCATTATACATAATTTAAATAATAAATACGTGTGGGAAGTAGAAAGTGAGAGACCGCTTGCCCCCTGGAATCCCTCTCTTTGGACATAATCAGGCTTAACAGCTTGGTTTTCCTCTTTTTTAAGGACATTTACTGTCCATGGCCTCATTTAATCTCTCAACAAACCGTGTGCAGAGGGGCTGAGCAGATTCTCAGCCCATTGTACAGATGGGGATGCTGAGGTGCAGAGGGGTTCTGTGGCTTGTCGAGGCCGGTATCCAGCTCTAGAATCCCAGTTATCTGACACTCAGGATAGTTCTCTTCCCTTGGAATCTGGTCCCAGTGCTGTGGCCAGCCCATTTCCATCTGGGCTCTCAAGGGCATATAATAAAGAACTAGACAGTTGACCAAAGCTATAGGTTTTTACAGTGGGAATGACTCAGCGAACCTTGAGATGAAGGATGGTAGGGAGGATGTGAGAGGTGACGTTCTGGAAGCAGCTCCTGTCACAGAGGATCTGAGTGAGTTAGACATCTGTGGATGCAGGGAGAAGGGATGGACAGAGGTGGTTTTCCAACAAAGCCTGTGTTCTCAGGGTGACCTTTTTTTGTCTCCCCAGTCTGCGACTGACATTGGGCAGATCCAACAATTGCAGCTGCAGCTGGAGGAAGCCAAGAAGGAGAAGCACAAGCTTCAAGAACAAGTACGTGCTCAGAGCTGCCATATTGTTCGGGGAGGAAGGGAAGGTCTCCCTCTGGGACCCCCCCAGAAACTGTCATTCATTCATTCACTCATTCGCTCAACTTCAGTCTTTTGACAAATGAGTTGAGAACAATCCCAGCAGGTGCACACACACGCACACACACACACACACACACACACACTAACTCCTGCCCGTGTCTGTTCAGCATCCAAATGTGCCCCGTGCAATGAGACTCATCAGCCATTCAGCGCAGGATTTTCTCCCTCTGAGAAATGGCTCCAAGGAAAAGGGGACGGTCTGTGCAAGACAGGATCATCATTCTCTGTGAAATCTTCCTTTGAAGTTACGGTTCCTCCTAACACCCCTGAATTTCCCTCATTAGCTAGTGGGTTGCTATTATCCAGGAAATTCTCAAAGTTCTTCTAGAATTGTTGCACGTGGCTGCTGACGGTGGCTGTCGGAATGACTGAGTATCCAGCAAACGTCCCTGGGCGCTGAGTAACAACAAGCACAAGAGAAATAAGAGCCCCAGTGGCCATTGCTGGGTACTTATTATGTACCAGGCACTGAGCTCCTTCAGTCCTCACACAAAAAAGGAAGAAATGGGACTCAAGGAAGAGGACTGACTTGCCCAGGCTCATCCAGCTGGAAAGTGGCGGGGCCTGGTTTTGAACCCTGATCTATGTGCTTGGCTCCCAAACCCACTCTTGGTTGTGTCCTTTGATGCTGAAGCTTGCTGCTCACAGACTGGCTTTTCTCCCTTAGCAGAGCAGGGAGAGAAGGTAAGAGAAGGCTTACCTGATTGCAAATCTTATAGCTGAGGCTGAAGGCCCAGGAAATGTCACCTCCCAGCACCTGAGACCCAAGGGCAGGGTCTGGCGTGAAGGTCCAGATTGTACCCAGCAATTCTTGCTTGAGCATTCAACAGACAGCACCTGAGCCGAGAAGGAGGCGGTGTGAATGGGTCTGGGGCTGGGCCCTGCATGAGTCTCCATCCTGGGACTCAGGGCCATCAGGTGGCCAATGGCCCTCTTGGGTTTGCCTCCAGCTGCAGGTGGCTCAGATGCGCATCGAGTACCTGGAACAGTCCACTGTGGATCGAGCCATCGTCAGCAGGCAGGAGGCGATCATCTGTGACCTGGAGAACAAGACAGAGTTCCAGAAAGTGCAGATTAAGAGATTCGAGGTACTTGTGGACGTGTAAATGTTGCTCAGGGCTGGAGCAGTGCGGGCTTTTGTGTAAGCTCTGTCCATCCTTCCATCATCCATCTATCCACTCACATGCCTCCACCTGGATATATATTGCTCACCCGACTCCCACAGGGGTCCCCTCCTTCCCTCGCTCCCTTCCTCCTTTCTTCAACCACACTGCCCCACAGACCGCCTATCCATCACCCTATCTACCCCCATCTATCTCTTTCCATCTCCATCTACCTTCATCGGTCCATTCATCACGGCCTTCCATTTGTCCTACCTTTATCTCTTCATTCTTCTTCCTCCTCGTCTATTCTTTTTCTCTTCAGACCTTGACCTCTCTGTCTGCCCATGTTTTTATCCATTGATCCACTTCTGCCCATCTCCATCCACCTACTCCTCCATGAATGTGCCCAACACTCGTTATGAGCAGACCTTTATTTTGCACTTAGAGTGTGCTAGGCTGTTTTAACCGCATGAAAGACAGATGTATAAAACAGATTCTGCTTTCCAGAAGCATAGAGCTTTGTAGGAGGCGTGGGTAAGATATGTACATAAATACCCATCACGGGGAGAGAGGGCTGTGAGGTCTGGAGGACAGAGGTCTTTTCAGGCTGGGGAATCAGGGAGGCCTCCAGGAGGAGGTGGCATTGATGCTGGACCTTGAAGGACAGATTAAGACACGGATGGGTCAGGTGGGGTCCAATGATTATATTCAATTTAGCTCTATAGGCTAATGACATGAGACATTTACAGAGGACATCACCATTGTCAAAATCCTTCCTCATCAGCCGTTCCACTTGACCTTCACCACAGCCCCGTGGGGCTGGTAGGATAGAATGAGATGACCCCAGAGAGATCAAGTGACTTATTCAAGATAAAGCCGGGTAGTGTCAGTGACAAGAGTAGGTTGACACTTGCCCTTCACTCCGTCCTGGTCCCGGGCTGTAACTTCTCTGCGGCCAGCTGGCTTGCCCACAGTATGGCAGCGCATCTGGACAGTGGGAGGCTGCACTTTGCATTCTGAGACATTTTCTCCCAATGCTCTGTTGCGCCTTTGGTCTCTCAGAAGGCTGCCATGGATGAGGAACAGAGAAAAGTTCCTGTTCGTCTTAACTGTCAGTGGTTCTCGGAATTGCTCACAGGATCGCTCAAGGCATCATTGTCTCTGCAGATCACCCTGAAGCTTTGATCTACTATATTTTAAATGATTCGATACATAACATTGGGCCACATCACAGAACGTTTTTTCACTTGAGTCTAGCAGAGTCAAGTGATAGCCGAGAAGAAAAGAAACTGATGGTAGAAAAACATTAAATAGCAGATTCTATCTTCAGATTCATTTTTCCGCCTTGTCATCATTATTTGAATTTGGTGGAATTCCAGGTCCTTGAGACGGGGTGCCGGAGGACACAGTTCGAGAGCTACTCTTCCTCCTTCTGACCCTCCTGCTGCCCTTTGAACTTGTTGCTAAACTCCATTTGCAAGGCGAGGGGGGTATGAATAGTAAAGCTTTTTTTTCTTTCACGCCATTGTTCAGTCTCTGATCTGCAAAGGGGCTCAGAGTCCTCAGGAAGGGCCTGAAACATTCATGCAGGCTCCGCTCTGTGTCAACACTTGAGTATTTGCCCATCAGGATCGATCGGTTCCAGGCTTGTTGGCTGACTAATGAATTCTGCAGAACAGCCAGCCGTCGGGTTTGTTTTCTGTAGCACTGGCGATGCCCACAGCTCTTTGCTCTCTGTTGTTACGCTGTGTCCGCAAGGATTTCCTCCCGAGTAAAGGGGAAATGCCGTAAAGTCTTAGAGCTGGGGCTCATGGGAGATTATTTGTTCAATCTCCTCATTTTACAAATTGGGGAAACAGGAACCCATGTTGGGGAAGGGATTTTAATCTCCCAGCGTGATGCTTTCCCCACTGCACCACTCCACCTCCCAGATCTTGAGATGAATGAAGGCTGCTATAAATATTAATAATTCCCAACGCTTATCCAGCATGTCATCCACTAATGTGCCAGGCACTGAGTTAAGCCTTCTGCATAAGTTAACGTGTGCAGTCCTGACGGCATCCCTGGGACAAAGGTACTGTTAACATCCCTGTCAATCAGAGAGGTTGAATAACCTGCCCAAGGTCACACAGCCAGGAAGAGGAAGAGGTGGGACTTGAACCCAGAGCATATTCACAGTCAGGGTTCCCAACAGCATGCTACACTGCCCCTCAGAACAGCACTTATCACTGTCGAGGCTTTTAAAGTACATTCCTCATTTTTGTGTCAGTAGTCAGGATTAGTATCCTGATTATAAAAACACGCAGAGATTCGGCAAAGGATTTCTCTTCCTGCAGCCCACTGTTCCATGCCCCTGGCCTCTTAACTCCCAGGTGGGCGTGTGCTCTCTGACCCGCTCCAGGTCCTCGTGATCCGGCTCCGGGACAGCCTGATCAAGATGGGCGAGGAGCTCTCGCAGGCGACCACGTCCGAGTCCCAGCAGCGAGAAAGCAGCCAGTACTACCAGCGGCGCCTGGAGGAGCTGAAGGCGGACATGGAGGAGCTGGTGCAGCGGGAGGCGGAGGCCAGCCGCAGGTGCATGGAGCTGGTGAGTGCTGTCCCCAGCGCTGGCTCTCGTGTGATTGACAGCTTGGGACTGGGGAGAGAGTTCTCCCTCTTTTTGAACGGGAGACTCATGGATGCCTCTGGGACCTTTGGGTGAGCGGGAAACTGGGAGAACCTGAAAGAGGATGAATGGAGAGACGACGCTGCCATTGGCTGCAAGCCGAGGGGGCGGGCCCAAAGTGGACCAATGGCATTCCCTGCTGCTGGATGACGGCCCAGCGCCTTTCCATCTCAGACTCCAGACTTTCTTTTCCGCCTCGCTCTTTCCGCTCCAGAGGCAGGGCGGCCTCAGGCGGAGAGGAGGGCATCCACGTTTATTAAATGTCTGCCTTGCATTGAGTCTTAACATCCATAATATCATGTAATCGTCGTAACAACCCTGCAGAGCCAGGATTATTGTCCCATTTTACAGATGTGGAAACTGAGGCTTCAAAGAGATGAGATAGCTTACGTAAGGTCACACCAAGTAAGTGTGAGTGCGATTTCTGGGCTATTAACAGCAACAACAAAGATCGAAGGTAAAAGCAATAATGTTACAGCCACCATTTATTAAGCACTTGGTGTGTGCCAGCTTCTGGGTCAAATATTTCTCTTTTAAATCCTCCTGTCAGTACTGTGAGGTCGGTACTATTCTTATCTCCACTTTACAGGTGGGCAAACTGAGGCACGGGGACATCGACAGGCCAAACTGAGGCTCAAAATGGTACATCCACTTGCTAGTAAGAATTTAAGCCAGATCTGCCCAACTCTGTACTCTCTGCTTTTATTCACTAAGCCGTGCTTTGCTCCCTGGTGTGGTCCAAAGAACGTTTTAAAATTTGCTTCCTGCCCACTGGGAAGGTTTCTCCATGATTCGGTGTATTTTTCTGAGAACAGTTTCCTGCAGGGATCGCAGAGCATCGGAGAGAGCCTGCTTCTCCTTTTCCCTGCGAGGCCAGATATCTCTGACTCCAGATATTTGCTTCTGTGACCGGGGAGGCATCTGGTACCCCATGAAGTCTTCACTGAGACAACCCACAACATGCTGAGGCTTGGGGCAGAGGTCTATAAGTCAGTCATTATCTCATTCCAGCCCTGTCCACCCTGGTTTTGTGACAGGTCTCACCGACTTGTCCTCCTGCAGCAAGTATATTTCTCGGGCCACTGCCTCTCACGGCCAGTGTCATCCCCATCAGTTTTACCCTTGACAAGGCAGCAGCCTGGCTGGTATGTGGGGGGGAGCGGGGGGCAGGGAGGTGAGGCCCGGCGCAGAGACCCAGGTCCCCAGACACAGTCGGAGCCCCGTGACTGGCCGTTCCTCCACCCTCCGTGGCTCTGGGAGAGAGAAAGGCTGTTTCCCCCAACTGACAGGAAACCTTCCTCATTAGCCAGCCCTGCTTCTCATGCAGCTGAGTTCTCCTCCTGCCAGCTCCGGCTGGGAGTGACAGAACATCCGTCGTCTTTCTGCTCTGATGTCTTCTTTAACTGACCCAACACCTGGACATTCCGGCCAGATCAAACAGAGATTTCATTCCTCTCTCTTTTGCTCTCTTTTTCTTCCTCTGGCTTCTCTCTTCTCCTTCCCTCTCTTCCCACTTCCCTTTCTCTGTCCCCATTTCTAGGGATGGATTAAGATCTTTAAAAGCCCTAAAATACTGAAAAGATTTTAGGGCAACCCCCAGACATGAATCAAAGTAGAAACAACACAAAACCATAAGACACAAAGCTTGCGTGTATGCTGAAATCAGACCTGCGTCTGTCTCTGTTTTCCGATTGCAAGATTCTGGCTCAGTTTCCCGGGGCTAAACTTTACTCTGCTGTGATTGGGCAGCGTATCCATTTCCTTGGGCCACTGTAATAAATTACCAAAAACGGGGTAGCTTAAGACAACAGCAACTTGTTCTCTCAGTTCTGGAGGCCAGAAGTCTGAAATCAGGTGTTGGCAGAGCCACGCTCCCTCTGAGACTCTCGGGGAGGATCCTCGGCTGTGGCCGCATCGCTCCAGTCTCTGCCTCCATCTTCACATGGTCCTCATCCCTGTGTTTGTGTGTCTCAAATATCCCTCTGCCTTTTTCTTCTAAGGGCGCCTGTAACTGGATTTGGGGCCCACCCTAAATCTAGGTTGATTTCATCTCAGATCCTTACCTTAATTATATCTATAAAGACCCTTTTCCCAAATAAGGCCGCATGGATAGGGTCCGGTGGACATGACTTTTGAACTCCCTTCAGCCCACACAGGAGGGAAGGGCAGGTGCTATTCATCTGGCATTCTGCAGTGATCCCCACGGCTTGTTTCCTCGGTGATTCTGTGGATGAGCCAGGCTGAAAGGGACAATGTCAGGCTGGCCGATCCTTCCTAATAGTGGATGTCCCAGACTCACCAACCTATTTGCCCTCAAATATGCCCCTTGCCTTTGGGCCCTGGCATGTTTCCACTGGGAGAAGGGAGGAAGTCATGTTTTCTTGTATCGTTACATTTATTTATCCAACATTTATCTATTCACCACCACTATGGCCGTGTCACAGGGATGGGGATTGGTGGAGAGGGGCAAGGAGGCCTAAGGTCCCTGCTTTGTAGAAGCTCACAATGTGGACGAAACACAGCTCAGTGGGAGAGTTCAATGAGCAGTGTCATTTTAAGACAAACGCTGTTGCCGAGGCCCCTCCCACTGGCGTGGCATCCTGGTACTTTGCAGGCTTCTCATCTCCCCTCTCCAGGTCCATGTCAAGTCACGAGTTTGCCTTCCCCCATCCCATCCCTGTAAGACGGGGGCAGCTGCTCTGTGTCATGCGTTCTCTATAGACTTCACCAAAAGCTTGCAAGGCAGTCCGGGTTCTGCTTCTTTCATTCCTGCGAGATGTGTCTCTAGTGTTTCCTGTGCGCCAAGCCCTGTGCTAGATGTTGGGATCCAGCGGGGAACAAGACACGCTCTTGCCTTCAAGGAGCCCATGCTGAACGGAGAGAGATGCCTAAGGCCGTCGCGAGTGTATTTTGTACAATTCTCTGTAAGGGACGCCCAGGGCTTCCACGGGCAAAACCCGGCGTCTGTGTTCTGGGATGTGGGGGGTTCTCAGATGACCCACGCTCACCACCACAAGTCATTTCTTTGGGTAAAGCATTGCCCTCTTCACCTTCCATGTATGAAATTCCAATCTCCCTGGGAGGGATAGAATGAATTTCCTGTCTCCGTAGTCCAAGCATTCATTCATTCATTCATTCATTCCCTGGACAAACATTCCTTGAGTCGCTCTATGCTCAAGCTCTTTGCACGTGTTGTCTCCTTTCACACTTATGTCGACCTTAGCAGGAGGAGAATGTGGAGGTGCAGATGTGTGAGGTGGCTTGCCTGGGAGTACAGAGTTCAGAGTGGCAGAGCTGGTCTTGGTGGCCCTGTGTGTCCAACTCGAGTGCTACCAATGGGAAACCATGCTGTCCTTTCGCCCAACCCTGCTGAAAAATGGCTCTGCTCTGGGGGACTGCCAGAAAAGGGATCCCGCACTCTGGGCCCCGCTGAGAAGCGAGAAGGATGTTGATGGATCTCCTCTCAGTGTTCCTTCCCTCCTGTCCCTGGCCTGTACCATTTGTCACTGTTGGTGTTGGTTTAAAGGGCTGCGAGTTGTTTCGTGTAAATGATTTACACCTCTAGCTGGCACACCGGCACGTCCAGATCAGGATCAATTACCCTGCCCATGGAACTTCTCTTCCCGGAAAAAAGAAAAATGAGGTTTTGCCATTAATTTTAGTAAATGTACTATTCCTGGCGACTCCCAGAGCCATTATGGAGAAAAGAATCTTCTGGCTCTAAATCATTCAAGTCCGTTTGTCACTGGAGCGACGACACAGCTCATCCGTGGATTTATATCCTGTTGGTTTTCAATAGTTACAGAGCCCAGGGGAAAGCACCTTGGCCCCAGGACGGGGTATTCAAGGGAGGTCAAGGGCAGCTGGAAGAGCTGAAGGTGACAGGAAGGCCTGCCCTCTGCCTCCTTTTGGCCAACGCGCCCATTGTGGAGGCTGCAGCCGTTGCGTTTACCCTTCATGTCACCTTGGCCTCTGGTCTCAACTTTCCCCTGGGTCAGACGTCCTTATCACAGGCTTCCTGGTCTTGAAAACCTCAGATGGGGCTTCAGCTCACTATTGTGCATCCCCCCAGTGACCTGCAGTAGGAATCGCAGTGGCCTGCCTCCCCCTGCCTCACACAGATGAATGGTCAGGCCCGCTCGTTTTAATTTATTTAGGTATTTTTCCAATCCTTTCCCTCCTGTTCCATCCCAGCTTCCTCCATCTTTATTGAATCTCCAACCCCTCTGGTCGGGGCCTCTACAGTTGCTTTCTAACTTGTTTCCCCACTGTTCCTCCACTCTTGCTTCTCTTGCAGAACTTTCCAGAAGGGTTGCATTTTACCATGCTATTGTCCTGCTAAGAAATCTTCCATGGCTCTCCGTGGCCTTCAGAACAAAGACCCAATTCCTTCCCAGGGCCTCTGACATCTGGCCTCTGTAGATTTTTCTGCTGTTGCTTGTCTGCTGCTTATCACCTTGCATGTTAAGTAAGTGTGCAGGACACAATGCTATGTTCTTTCTTGACTCCTCACCTTTGTTCTCATGCATTCCTCTGCCTGCCTGTTCAACCTTCAAAATTCAGATCGGGTCTCATCTCCAGGAAGCCTTCACTAGGTTAAGCATCTCCTTTGGTCCTGTGTTCCCCCATCCATGCCTGTATCACTCAGTTGTTGCAATTGCTTGCATTTTTGCCTTCCTAGACGGAGGGCCCCTGAGAGAGGGATTGGGTTTGGTTTGACTCTGGGTCTCCGGCCTCCAGTTCAAGGTCAGACATAGGGTAGATTCTCAGTAATTGTTTGCTGACGTTTCCCCAACATTTGGAGGTTTTGCCTCCTAAGAGAACAGTTTGAAAAGTATATCTTAAAAATTAGAACTTTCAGATCAATAAAGTTTTGTTTGAGTCGTATGTGCCTGTCCCTGTACTTGATATTAGGAGTGATG